AAACTTGAGGAAAGTAATGAAAGTAACTCAACTCCTCTTATTCATAATCTACATTGGCCAACTCATCAATCCTTTTAGCTTCACCACCATTGTCTTCCCTCATAACATTAACACAAGACCTTATTTTATGATTGTTGGGACATTCTAATAACCTATGTTCTGTCTCTCCACAATAGAAATAATGACCCACACTATCCATTCCACTAGGAGTAGGTTTCATAAGTTGTTGCTACTTGTACCCATTAGGAAGAGGAACAGAGGGTTTAAGACTAGAAAAAGTTACTAGTGGTCGCCAACCACCACCTTTGTTAACTATCGCTTGTGAGCCTCTAGGGTAGAGTTTTCTTTCCACCCTCTATTTCTCACCTTATTTATTCCTGGATATTTTTATTTATTTTTGTCCGAGATACCAGCATATGGCTGCTGATACTATTCCATGAGCAAGTGACTGAAGGCAATTTATTGTGCTACCTCTTTACACTTTTGGTACGTCTTCAGATTAAACTTCAAAATCCCATTGCGAAAAAGTGAACTCAAACTTTTTAGGAAATAACTTTGAGCATCTTCGTCACTCATATTTGCAATCATAATGTTGTGAGACATAAAATCCTTAGGCCCCAAAGAGGAGTTGAAAGGGTGTAATGTGGTAGTGGCTGAGGCGGAAACCAAATGAGTGTAACACATATGGACTAAAAGCTCTGACTCGAAAAGTCGAGAGCGGGAGTGGAACTCCCAATGAAGGGCTTGAAGAACAAGCACGAAGTGAGCAATAAATGAGTCTCTAAGAAAAAGACACAAAAGGACCAACACATGATATGTAGAAGGATCTGAGATGGACCCAAGATGGAGTCCGAGATGGACCTGAGATGGAGTCCAAGATGGACCCAAGATGGAGTCCAAGATGGACCCAAGATGGAGCCCGAGATGGAGTCCGAGATGGAGACTAAGATGGACCCGAGATGGAGTCCAAGATAGAGTCCGAGATAGAGTTTGAGATGGATCTGAGATGGAGTCCGAAATGGAGTCCAAGAAACCAAGACCGAGATTGAGTCCCATGGTCACATGGTGAGGAAGTCCCAAAGGACAGTGGGACTTACTGGTCAGGCCGGTGGGCCTTGACCAGTGGCAATGTTGGTAAACATGGCCATGGATAGAAAAGGACTTGGTGCGGATTGGAAAAGGGATATTAGGGAAAGATGTTCCCTATGTCTACAGGCATCCTAAGGATGCTAAAGAGTGGATCTGAGATGATCACTCATGGACGGATGGCCCAATCTTTGAGAGACAAGACTGTGATGCAGGTGGTGTTGGACCACCGGTGTCACCAAGGTGAATGGGCATGGCCTTAGCATAACGGGCTAATATGTCGGTGGTATGTTGGGGTGTCGGTCATGGGATTGGACACGTGGAGCACTTGGACCAAATGCAAAAGTTGAGAAACTAAAAACTATGCACAAAAATAACTTTTGTCTGCCATTCTTGGGGCTAGGAAGCCCCAAGTCCGAAATAGGACTTATGGAGGTTGTGAGTGAAATTCCTCCAAGTGGTTGAAAGTGTGGTTAAGTGATTAAAGTAGAATAGAAAATTTAGTCGCTTACAAATGCATTTCTGAGCAAGCACATTAACATAATGCATAAGGTCTCCATGCTACTTTAACTGCCACAGCTCTGCGCAAAGTCTCAAACCAAGATCATCCGACAAGTATTCTTTATAGATACGAGACTGCATCTTAATTCAACTTCTAGTCTACCCTCTTTCAGCACATACTTGGCCACCAAGTTTTGGCATGATTAGTGAGAAAAGACTGTTCACATGCAATTTTCATACAATCATCTACGTCTGCCAATATGAAATAATTTTCCATATCATAGACCCAGTCTTCCAAAACTTAATAGTCCCGTATGCCTCTGAAATTGGGTGGTTTTAGAGGCTTGAACTTTGAAACTTGTGCAACTGGGGGCAATTGCAAAACTTCATCATCCTCAGAATTTGAAGAAGAGTCTGGTTGCTTAGGTTTAGTTGGTTTAGCTGCCTCAGCATCGTTCTTCCTTTTGTTGTTCTCCTTCTTCAATTTGTGAACTTTCTCTCACAAATTTTCAATCTCAATATCTTGAGTCATATGTTGCAGTGAGGCTCTTCCGCTTCAGACTCAACCTTAGCCTCTTCCACAACATCTCTAGTAGGAGTTTCCGCCTCTCAATTCCCTTGTCTAGAAGTTTCAACGTCATCAGTACGGTTCCTTTTCACCATCTTGCTAATTGGATGCATGCCTCTATCAATAACTGAACATGCATATAACATTTTTACCGAATGGTGTAATCCAATTAATCCTACACATGTCACTTCAAATCTACTAAAAAAGTCTTTGCATATGCAACTTGAGTCAAAAATTCTAACAAAAGTTCGACAGGAATCGCTAAAATAATTGCTTTGATACCAAACGTAATGCACTTGAATTTGGAGCTAAACTCCAAGTCTGCTGCGTTATGAAATGAGGGTCCCATACACTCTTAATCTTACAAGCACCAACTCCTTGTATCTAACACTTACATGCAAAACAGTGTCAGATGGTGTCTGGCACGATTTTGACATACTAGTGGCCTAACGCGAGGAAAAGGGTACCCCACCGACTAGAACAACATGGAACTTATTAGGATTTTGAAATCACAATCAAAACGGTATAAAGTTTGGATTAAATGAAACCAAGTCTAATAATGAGTCTTAGAACAACTTTAAGATTGAGTCCAAAACCAAATCTAAAACCATTCATCCCTTAAAGCTCTAACCTTCATTTTATCCTTGGCAATACAAAATGGGTAATGCAATTGTGTGAATTTTATTGGAGATAGAAGCCCAAGCCCTTCTAATAGACATGATGTATACACTTGTGACCACTACATGAACCATTACCCAAAGGGCAACAGTGAGTCACAGGCTGAAAGCACAAGAGACTAAGTGGGTGACTCTAGGCACATTAAAGGTGGAGACAACAAAAAACATCCACTATGGAGACAATCATTTATGCAGCTTATTTAAATCCCTTGGGCTTCTTGGGGGTTGCCATAAGGCCATGTAAACAGAATATGAATGAATGCTACTTTCCAGTACTGACTAGCACATAAATTGTTAAGCAGAGCAAAACCATACTAAAGTACATTCTCCCACTAGGATGAGATTAAACACAGCATAAATTTAATGGTGCTTGAACATGATAATCATGACTGTACAGTCCTCTTGTCTTCTATATGGATTTGGGAAGACATGGACTACATTGGCAATCTTCTTCAAAATGGCATTTCTAAATCTTTTGATTTCATGTTTCATGGTGGGCATATATAAATGAATGAATGATTCAACATCAAAATTTAAAAACAATTTCATTGTGTTACGTTGACAGCCAAGAGTGGCTACTTGTGAAACTCCAGGATTGCTAGTCCATTGGAGACGTTGACAAGATGCACTTTGTTGAAACCAGCTTGTTCGGCGAGCGCCTGGTACTCTTCAAAGGTCCGCTCCTTGCCGTTGAAATTAACCATCATGACAAGATCTAGGAGCAGTCCGATTCGCAACTCAAACTCACTGGCAGCTTGATAAGCTTCAGAAGGTAGTAAAACTTCCACGACAATGACTTTCCCTCCCTGAGCAGGAAGGGATTTGTAGCAGTTTTGCAGGATCTTCAGGCACTGTTCGTCGTTCCAGTTGTGGAGAATCCACTAGAAAGGAATGAAACACCAGATTGGCAAGGAGAATTTGACTCTGGATCCTTTACCTTCAACATGATTGAATCTCCTTGGGGAATTGATCCGAACATGTCGCCACCAGCATGCTCCACTCCTGGAAGAAGTAAACAAAGAGTGCTTGAATGATCGAGCATGAAAAATCTGTGAGAGGATACCTTCAGATGCAATTCCCTGAGAAACAACATGGGGCTGATCGAAATTTATGCCTTTGATATGCGGATAGCGAGTTCGAATGTCACACAGCAATGCTCCATTGCCGCCACCAACATCGACCAGAGTTTTGATGCTTGCAAATCCCTTGTAGCAATCCAGCAGCACAGCACTGGACCTCTTGGAATGATCGGCCATGCAGAGGTTGAAGCTGTTGTTGAATTCCGGCTCCTCAGCCACAAGCTCGTATGCGGTTTTGCCGTGGGCTTTGCGGAATGGCTCGCCACCATCAAGAATGCCTTCGGCAAGATGCTCGAAAGGCTTGAGGAAGATCCGGTGATTGCACATGACACTCAAACCACGCGCTGCCAATTTCGTTCCTGGAGAAAAACGCTTGCCTATCTCGGAGAGCCCATACTTGCGCTGCCCCTGCACAACGGTCTCGTTCACAACCCCGTAAGTTGCCAGAACTCGGAGAGTTCTGTCCAGAAATGCAACATTCGCAGATGGGTTGTTTGTAATCCGGGAAACAATCTCAGAAGCAGAGAGGACCGAATCTGCTATCTCGTCGAAGGCTCCCAGCTTCACCACCGCATTGAGAGCGAGGGGGATAGTAGCATAGAGGACGAGCTCCTCACCAGGAGCAAACGCAGCCATGAAATCCGAGGTGAATGGTGAAGATGAAACAGCGTGCCACAGGTGGATTGTGAAACTTTGAGGGAGCACTATAAACTAAAATGGAGCTCTACAAACAAGTGAGCAAATTCTACGCTTTTTATATCGACAGAGACCTAGATTTTGACTAGTGGTTGGTCACATTGAGTGCCTGCTGCGTGCAACCATGGGACTCTTCCATCACAGAAGGTGACATACCACACATTGTTTGCATTTCCAGACAATTGTTGAATCTTCTGTTTCCGTTTTGGAAGTTCTACTTTGAAATCGATCCATGGACAAGTCCAAATCCAAAGCCTCTACTGACTTAAGTATGAATCATGAGACAACTTTTTGTAACTGAATTTATTTGTAGTCTATTTTTTTTTCAATAACTTGTTTCAAATTCATTGAATTAAGACATTTATTTTATATTATTATTTAATTGCTTACATGCTACAGAAATCCCTTCTCTTTGAAGCTCTCCACTGAATCAAACAGACACTTCCCAATGTTTATCAGCTCTGATTCCAGCAATTGACGGGCTTTGGCATTGCATATCTTGTATGGAACGGCTTCAGGATTTTTGGTGTCTGAGCAGATTTTAGGAACTGGGAGCTGCGGGTACAGCTCTGCCAGCATTTCCACAAGCCTCGCCCTGTGGATCGATCTCTCTGCCAGAAAATACCTCCCAAATGCTTTTGGATCTTCGAAAGCCGCAACATGAGCCAGTGCCACATCCCTCACGTCCACATATGCCTGGCAGCGATTTGCGTAGCTCTTCACGCATCCGGTCAGATACTTGAGAATGTGGGTGCTGCTCGCATTCAGCTTGGGCTGAAGAACTGGACCCATCACGACTGCTGGGTTGATCACAATCAGTTTGAAACCATTGCCTTGGGCAGCAGCGAACTCCCATGCGGATTTTTCAGCCAGAGTCTTCGCCAGGCAGTACCACTCCTTGATCTGGACAAGGTACTCCACATCGCTCCAGCATGATTCATCCACTGGCTGCTCCAGAGGCCGAGTTGGATCCAAATACATGGCACCCACCGAGGACGTCATCACAACAGTGGAAACTCCAGAACTGAAGCTGGCTTTCAGGACGTTGAGTGTGCCTTTCACTGAAGGCTCGATCAGCTCGGTCTGCGGATTAGTAATTCGGAAATTCGCCTCTGGACAGGGGCATGCCGTGTGGATCACAACTTGGCAACCTGCAGTTGCCGCGACTAGGCTATTGTCGAGCAAATCAGCTTTTACGAGCTCCAGCCTCTGGTTGGCCCCCTTGAGATTTTTGAGGTGTTCCACCTTGCGCAAATCCTCTGGATCTCGGACTGCTCCACGTACAGTATAGCCTTTGTCAAGGAGGTATTTGACAATCCAGGATCCAATGAAACCCGATGCTCCAGTGACACAAACCATCATCCCTCGCAACTGAGCCATCATCCCTCACGTCTGGTGTTTACTCTCAACATTTCTATTTATAAGACCTGAAAAATTGGATCATTGTAAGTAATCCAAAACTTGGAAGGTCAAATAAAAGAGGCGCAAGAAGATCTTTTATTCGCAAGAAAGTTCAAATTTTTGGGTGGGTGGGAGAGATTCCGGGTCCTCCCATGTTATAGGATTCGTGCTGTGAGGGCTGAATGTTGCGAGATCTACTGAAACGAACATCCGGGTCGTCCATCATAGTGTTTGGGCCGTCCTGCCCAGGAAGGACATCAAGAATGTTTCTTGAAGGAGGTAGATGTAAGGTCAAATAAAGGAGTGATTTTCTCCCATGCTATACATATGTAGCTTTTGCCTGGGATCCGCCCTGAGCCACAGCATGCCATCCCCCACCGCTCTTATTATCACTCTGGAGGACAGAATGAGGCATAAGAACACTGCCTGTAAAAGACTTCACTTGTAAAACTACCACCTGTAGTCATTCGGCCCTTGTCAAGCACAAAGATCTCAGGCTCGTGCTTTCAAGGTCCGTCACATGGGCAGCTCTGTGAATACTTGCTGGTGTATAAATTCTCTACGGCCCTCGTCTCAGCTCTGCCTCACCAATAATGGATGTCATCTCGGTTCTTCTTGTCGCACTCGTGCTTGCATTTTCTGTTCTATGGATGGTGTGCAGCTTCCTCATGCGCTACTATTGGGTGGCCAGTGCTCTCCGTCCAGTGATGGAGAAGCAAGGCATACGAGGCTCACCCAATCCTCCGAATCCCATCTTTGATGTTTTCTATGGGAAGCCTGACATGAAGGAGATCAGCCACGATATTCTGCCTCATGTTCTTCCCTGGGCCGCACAGCACATCAAATTCTATGGTGGGATTCAATTTAATTTCACAACATTATTAGTGTACTTTCAAATTCACTTTGACTTTCAGGGAACGTACACTTGAACTGGTGGCTGCGGGAGCCCCGGATTGTGATCTCAGAGCCCAAGATAATATGGGATCTGTTGATGAAGAAGCACAAGGATTTCGTCAAGTCCCACTTCATCAAAGTCTTTTCTGATGATATCTTTCATAAGGGTCTCTTCCATGCAAATGGAGAAGATTGGGCCCGGCAGAGACAGATTGTAGCGCCCAGATACTACATTGACGAAGTCAAGGTGATACTCCATTAACAAAGTCAAAGTCTAAGGTTGACTGAACTCTATTGCACAGGCAATGGTTGGAGCTGTGAACAATGCAACAAGCCAAGTCATGGCAAAATGGGAAGCCTTTGTGAAGGACAGTGGAGACGTGGAGAGGGAGCTGGATGTTCAAGTTGAGTTCATGAACTTGAATGTGGATGTTGTAGCGAGGACAACACTGGGGTTGGAAAACAGTGACTTTCAGAACATTCTCAAGTATAGCATCACATTGCTCAACCTGCAAGATGGTCAAGAGACCTGGAGCTGGTTACCATTTGCCAGGTACAGGTGGCTTAAGGAAAAAGCATATGAACTGTACTGACTTACGGAAGATATTGTGGTGCAGGCTGATCCCCTTCGGTATAAACGTTGAACGGTGGAAAGTACGGAAACAGTTTAATGACCTTGTTCGTAAGCAAGTGAGAGAGAGAAGAAAGAGGACGACAGGCAATAACGTTGATTTTATTGGGATGCTCTTGGATAATCCAGATGTTAGAGAAGACGTGATTGTCGCCGAGTTGAAAACACTCTATGCTACAGGGTTTATCAGCTTGGCCCCACTTCTCTCATTCACAATGTTGATGCTGGCTCTCTATCCCGATTGGCAAGAGAAGGCAAGACAAGAAGTTGACCAAGTTCTGGATGGAGAAGTTGTTAGTCCCAAAGATGTCAGCAAGCTAACCACGGTAACCAGTTAATCAGATTTGTCCTTTGATCCACATAACTGAGCTTGCTGTATGGTTCTTGTTTGTGCAGATTGAGATGATTCTGCGAGAGACATTGAGGCTGTATCCCACAATGCCGCTCATCGCCAGGGTGTGCATTAAAGACACTATGCTGGGGGACGTGTTCATTCCCAAAGGACTGGGGGTGAGCGTTAATGTCGTTGCGCTGCATCATGACCGAGATCTGTGGGGAGATGATGTAAATGAATTCAACCCATCCCGCTTCAAGAATGGTACTGCAACTGCAGCCAAGCATCCCATGGCGTTCATGCCATTTGCCTATGGAGTTCGAACCTGCATTGGAAGGGCCTTCTCTGAGATGCAGTGCAAAATAATCATTGCTAACATCCTTCAGAGATTCGAGGTTAAATTGTCTCCAAATTACCGGCACCACCCAGTCATTACAGGACCCCTGATCCCAAAGCATGGCATGCCTGTCATACTCAAGCCAAGGCGGAACTTCTAAGACAAAAAGATTTTAAAATAAATCTGTTTAGATATAAAAACCTTTATTCATGTCCAGAAAATAACACTCGGCATTTGCTCTGAGAATCGTGTTCCACAGACGGAGGGGCAACAACATCGATCTGACCTACCCTTCCATGTACATGTTGGCCAGGAGAATGTAGCCAGCTGAATCCATAGTGGCACAGATAGCAGCCCGCGAGAGAAACCAGCGTTGAACAGATCCTCGGCAAAACAAGAAACTTCCCCAACTCATTCGTCTCACCTACCTGTCACTGAAATCTGTCCAGCCTTCTCGTAAGGATCATAAGGCAGCAGCTTGTGAACATCCGGCCACCCATTGTCGATGCAGTCGACGATGTGGGATCTTCTTGTACACCGGAATTGCCTGCAGAAGCTCCTTGCTCTTGTCTCCTCCTGGTGATGGTGCTCCACACCCTTGATAGTCAAGGGATACTGATCTCGCAAGCCGAACATGCTCGGCCAGAAATTGAGAACTTGCGAAGCCGCCGTAAACCCTGCTCGATCCAGATGCCCGTAGCCTGATCGTCCGGGCGATTTCATCCCATTGCGGCATCAGACTCAGCAGATATAGCTTGATATTCCCAGCGGATACGTTTTGCCACACAGTCTAGGAGACTACATCCTTCTTCGAAGCAATCGCAAAGAACAGGGATTCAGTCCCCTTCTCCGCAAATGCCAGAGCCTCGTGGTGAATAAGACCAGGCTTTGGCAGGGCATCGAATCGAACACACCGTCCCAGATTGCAGGTAGCCAATTAGAAGCAAGCTTTTTGTAGGATCAAAAGTCAGCGCTTTGAACAATATACTACTCGGGACTTGCCTGTTGCAATTGGAAGAGTTGAAGTGCTTGCCTCACATCCATCTGCTGGGGATTCTGCTCATACTATGATCTCCAAAGCTTTTGGATTGCCAGATGCTGCTATCCAAGAATCCAATAATAATCCTTCCCAGCTCCAGCATACATTTAAATGTTAGATGGTAATGAATAAATTTAGAATATACTTTGATATTTTGGGATATTTTATCAACTAATGGTTGTTATTTATTTAGATTAATTCTGTATTTATAATATATAAATAACTTTATAATTTATAAACTTTCATAAACACTTTTAAGTATATTCTAGTTTATTCTACCTTCTAATAGTTGATATATAATAAGATTAATCTTGTGTTATAAATTATAAATATGTTAATTAATTATAAACTTCCATTTGATCAATTGGATAATAAATAGAATAACACAACTATTAACTTAAGCAAACAAAGCATTTCTATGCGATGACTAGTATGTTTATTTGTATAAGATTATTATTGCAATTTAAATGACTTGTATTATAACAAGTTTTTATGCGTAAGAAAATATAGATAATATTTATCTCACATGTTTTCATTGAAACAAAAGTTGTTGTTATTTTCAAATATTATATAAGTTATTAGTGTCAGGAGCATGTCATTGAAAGAAGGGAAAAAAATAAACTACCAATAAAATATTAAAGAAAAAAGTAGATTTGTGCTAAATGGATCAGTCCAACCTCAAACTAATCCAAAAACCTAATTTAAATTTAGAATCAATATATGATAACAGTTCTTGAGTTCAAATCCCATCAACAAATGTTTAAATTAAAAACGCACTTCATACTAAGCACTAATAAGCAATTTAAGTGGTGTAAGACTTAGTTTGCATAGATATTGCTAATAAAAATTTATAATCAACTCAAAAAAATAAAAGTGAGAATTAGACTCCTTTAGCACATATGAATTTGGAGTCAAAGTACAATCCTATTGCATTACGAAATAAAAATTAAATATACACTCAAAATCCCCTCCCTGTATTAGATAGTATTTGCTAAGATTATTCCCTATATTACTAAATGCACCACATGTGGTTTTGACTTTATACTTTATAATAAATCATCATAATTATCATAAGATAACCAAGGTGCAAAGCCTAACTCTTCAATATATGTGCCAAAAGTAATAAAGTGAGATCCGAGTTTCAAGGTTAACTAACTCTCAACATACAACCAATGAGCGAAGTAATAAGAGTACAGAATAACAGAGGATCAATATTAGAGTTAAACACCGAAAACAATATGGCCAAAAGTGGCATTTGACATTATTTTATAAATACTCCATATGGCAAGTCAAACTCAAAACAAAGATAAACATGCCACTTAACTGAAGAGAAGATCGTGGTTTTCCCATCTTGCTTCCCAAGTATGTTGAAGAGGTTTCCACTCTCATAATCCTTGATGACATTGAACCAAGGGTGGTACACCAGATTGCAATCTTTTTTCAAGTTTTCTTTGCAATTTCCTCAAAGTCCTGCAGTAAAAAGGAATTTAATACAAGAGATCTCCTGTTATCATGATTGGACTAACCTGAAAAGAAATCCCCTTCTTTGCTTTTCCAGTGCCAAGCTTCCTTGGACAATCCAACTTCTTCCAATGGAAACAAGTGTGTTCAAGCATCTCCCAGATGTAAGACTTGAACCACTCCTTTTTGTTGGCGTTTGCTGTAGACGATATTGTGATGACCTTCTCAAAAGAAGTCGATGTGGAACTAAAACTTGTCCTTGATACTCTATGGCATGTTGGGAGGC